TAGTCTTCTATACACTTGTAACCCTTTGGTGCATGCTTGAAAAATAGATTCATAGCCTCATCATCATCTAAGAAACTCAATAGCTTCATAGTCTCATCATCATCTAACAAACTCATATTATGTATCACATCTACTTCATGTGCAGTTAATACATGCTCATCTCTTGTTGTGATTATGATTCGACTTCCTTCACCGTACCAATCACGTGATCCTACTAACTCTTCTAGTTGCTCAACTTTGTCGACATCATCAAGAACAATCAACACCTTTTTATGTTGTAATCTATCCCTTATCATGCATCCTCCTTCTTCTGCTCTCCCTACCTCCACTTGCTTCTGTTTCAGAACACCATAAACAATTTTTTTTGCATTCTTTCTAAACCATCTTCATTACTTGATTCCTCCCGAATATTTTTTAGAAAGCAGCAACCATCAAACTTGCAGGAGATTTCATTATAAACAGAAGAGGCGAGAGTTGTCTTACCACCACCTCCAACCCCCCATATTCCAATCATTCAAACATCACATAGTCCGATTATTAACTTTAGTATCAAATGTTGCATGTGGGACTCTATTCCAATCAGGTTTTCATCCACACTTGAAGTTACTGGATGCAATCTATGTGAAATTGTGTCAACAATATTTTTGATGCATTTTGACACGTGCGTGCAAATTGAATATCACAAGGGTCATTAAGACATTAACACAATGACAAATAGACTTATCATAAACTACTACCCTAGAGAATCTTCACTTTGTGAGTTCTTAGCAGATGTTAATCTCAGTAGTATTGATTATTATTTGGCTCTTATGAAGTGATCTAGTTAAAGCCTTTGTTTATCAAATAAGGTCATCAACCTCATCAAGAATAATTGAAACATTTGTACAGGTACCTACTTCTTATCATGCATCTTCCTTCTTCACTCTGTACTACCAGTTGTTTTTTTCAAAATACCCAATAAACTTCATATCTTACTTGTTGGATCCCCCAAAAAATATGGATACTGTAATTGGAATATTGAGCACAAGTATAATCATTTGTTGTACTCTAAAAAGAGGAACTATATCATCAAGAATTTGGCTTTATCATTCAAAAGCTTATAATGTATAAGTATAAATGTCTTGTAGTAGAGCACACATATCTTAAGCATAAAAAGTGCACAAACAAAGAAGAAAATTACCCATTGGCAATGTGCTCGGTTTCCCATCCAGAAAATGTTGGTTGCATCCACAAGTGCTTTTCTCCAAGATTCAACCTTCTTCTTGTTGTTCTCCAACTCATGTTTCACAAATGCTTCTCCATGTTTGAGTTTTTGTTTTCGAACTTCGGAAGGATTGTTGGTGATTTTATATCATCAATATTATTTAAGTGTAATAGGATTAAAATTGTTGACCAAAAGTGATCTTGTTGAATATTGAACAAGTTAGGATGGTGTAGGAGTGCACACTTGTTCAAGTTTTTCAAGATTCAAAGTACATTGTTATTTAGGGGTGAAGCCCCTAAACGGACGAGGGTTCGGGGGTAGCGCCCCTGGGAGCGGGGTCTTAGGGACGGCAGCCCCTGGCGGGGTCCAAGGGGCAAAGCCCTTGGTTGGGATCGAGTTGCCAGGTCGGTGCAGATTTTTTTTATTTAGGCTATGTTGCTATATTAAAAATTGCATCAAAAATCCAATTTTAGAAAGTTGCCCTTTTTCCTGAGATCCGTTGAATGACAGGTTTGGAAGTTTTATGACAGTTTGTAACTGTCTGTTGACAATTTTCAGACAGAAAGGATATATCCGTTTTTTGGTCATTTTTCCGGTACATCTCAGATTTCATTCTCTGAATTTCATCGAATTGAGTGTTCGATCTTTACCATCGAAATACTTCAATTTGATAGTGAATCACAACTTTCAGAGAATCCAAGTAATCTATCCATTCCCTATTTTCTAGCAAGGATCAACATCATAAAATACGGGCATCACAATTTGGCCTCTTGTATCCTTGCATTTCATGATATGTACAAGTTCATCTAAGCACCATGAAGAACTTGTGTAGTTTTTAGAGAATATAATGACGGCGATTTGTGATTCTTCAATAGCCATCATTAGAGATGTACCAACTGATTCGCCCCTAGGGAGTGTTTCATCATCTTTGTAAGTGTGGATCCCTTGTTGTTCGAGAGCTGTGTAGAGATGACCCACAAAAGTCTTACGAGTATCTTCTCCTCTAAAACTAATAAAAACATGGTACTTCCATGACCGAGAAGAACAGACCGGAGCTAAAGAAGAAGATGATGGTAAAGATGCCATCCATGAGTTAATTAGTTTAAGATTTGAATGTAAGTGGTTTAAGCATCTCAAAGAAATGAACCATATATATATATATATATATATATATATATATATATATATATATATATATATATATATATATAAAGAGAGAGAGAGAGAGAGAGAGAGAGAGAGAGAGAGATGTGAGTTTCCAAGAAATTTCCAATTTACTAAATGCCCAAGAAGTATCTTACACTTGACAGTTTCAACAAAGCGGGTTGTTTTCATATTGAAGTTGTCATTATTAAAATCAACAATTTTCATGAAAATATGGACGAAACTTTTGGAAGGGAACATTTTCACTACAAACCAAGAGATGGAAATAACTTAACCTTATTGTTAAAAATTTTAACTTCATATTGTTTTAACTTAACCTTATTGTTAAAATTTTTAACTTCATGTTGTTTTAAAAATTAAAGACATGATAATATTTTGTAACAAAATACAAAGAAGTATACAGATTTAAAATTTCTATAACTGAACTATAAACAGTATCTTGTTTTAACCACATTCAAAAATGTATATCTGACTAGAATGTATATATAAATAAATGAAAAAATTAATCAATACTAACAAATGTTAGGTGACTTGTTCTTGCCATTAGACATCGATCTTTATATCTGCATTTTAAAACATAAAAATATGAGAATTACATTAGCCAAAAGGAAAATTTCACCCCTGGATATATAACCCCACCAAGCATAGATACGACCAATACGAGGAACATAAATCATAATGTCTCCAGAGCACAAAAGGTGATGCCCAAACTTCAACTTGTACCTAGAACCTAACTAACTAATTCTCACCTACTTACAGCTAATGAAAACATAAGGGGGCAAAATTTAGTAATCAATCTATATTTGTTCCATATATTTTTAAGTTTAGACATTGGAATCTTTTTATATTTTCTTTGTATGGTTTGATTAGCTTTTTGAGAAAAATATAAATATAGGATACTTGTATATAAAAGTTTAGCATTATTTTGTTAAAAGAAACATAAATGAGATATGCAAATTATGATTTTCCATTTTTTTATAATTATAGGGCCCATACAGCCATCTTTGATATATTAATTTATCTCCTGAAATTACAATAACCACAATTAATTGTAGTTTTGCTCCATATATTCATAATATATCACAAAAACCTGAAAAAGACAAAAGTAACAAAAAAATATTTAATATAAACGAGTAAACAAAGCGCAGTTATGCCGCTTTTAGTGAAAACCGGAAAACTTTAAAAGATATGTGATGAAAGTGTAAACACAAAGCGACCGTTTCTGTAATTTTATCAAGATATGGACCATTTCTATAAATTGTAGGGACCATTTATGTAAACATAATTTTAAAGCAGGGATTGCTTATGTAAATATTGAGATGGTAACAATCCAATGACCAAAACTGTCAACCTTCCAAACTTATTGTGGCCAAAACTACAAAATAAAGCAATCCAAGGATTAAAACTATCAATTTCCCAAACTTGTTGTGGCCAAAACCTAAAGCATGTAAAGTTTTGTGGTCAAAACAAAAAATATGGAAAGTTACTATTCATAAGCTCCTTCAGATTATATATATATATATATATATATATATATATATATATATATATATATATATATATATATATATATATATATATTCAGGTTTATTTGAGACCATTCTAATTTTGTGAGACCGTAAGACCAAATTTAAAAATAATTTTAAAATGCAAAATAAATGGAAAAATCCAAAAATTCTTTTTTTAAATATTATTTTCAGAACTTGAATTAACTAAAAAATAATAATAATAATAAATAAATAAATAAAATAATAAAAAAAAATTCCGTTTTTTTTTTGAAAAATAAGTGAAATATTCTAATAGAATATTACACTAACATATTCTAAAAAATAATTTTAAAATGCAGAATAAATGGAAAAATCTAAAAAAAAAATTTAAATATTATTTTCGGAACTTAAATTAACTAAAAAAAATAAAATAAATAAAAATAAATTCTATTTTTTTTTTTTTGAAAAATACGTGAAATATTCTAACAGAATATTACACTGACATATTCTAAAAAATAATTTTAAAATGCAAAATAAATGGAAAAATCCAAAAATTATTTTTTTAATTATTATTTTTGGAACTTGAATTAACTAAAAAAATAAAAATAAAAAAATAAAAAAATGTGTCTCACGGTCTCACAAAATTAGACCGTCTCACATGAACCTAACCATATATATAACATTTCAGTCACAAGTACTGTATAAATTAGGATTCCCCTGTAACTCAAACTAATACTAATGACATACATTTCTACCAGGACTTTAACCACATGACATTGAAAAACACTTGTAAATAAGAATATAGAGCATTTCAGGTACACTTATGTAATAGTATGAGTAGATTAAGAAATAAAAACCTACTATCCCTGTTAAAATATAAAGTATAAACCAAGTCAAACCAGCATAATTTGGTCTAAAATTTGGATAGGATAATGGAAAAATAATTTCTATGGTTCTAAAATGTAAACTTATGTGACCAGTGAAAAGAAAGGATGATGAAACAATCAGTTGTCAGTCCTGCAACTGGTTTACTTAAAAAGCAAAATCGAACTCACCATATATATATGCTCCCAAATGCATATACAGAAATTATAATCTTAATGATCGACTCTTCAATATGGGACAGGAGAAAATATTTTGTTATTGTCAATACAAAGTACTATGTCTATTTGAATGTGAACTTGATGAATATATATAATTTATAAGAAAGTATCATAGAAACATTTTGGAGTTAGAGAAAGTTTATGCAAGATTCAAGGCCACTATTAAAAACAATCCATTTAAAAACAGGTTTTATATTTGGGTAACTTGTCTGGAGCAGGTTCCTTCCAGAACAACCCATTCGATTGAAAGTCATCACCCAAATACGAGGGGTTATTATCAGCCACCATATGCAGCAGCATACATACTCAAATTAGGTCAGAAAAACAACGAAGTCAAGGGTGAAAGAGGATCGATATTAGAACTTAGAGGAAAGAGAAGCGGGTGAGTAAGGGGCTGTTTGTTTTTTGTGTGAAGATCTGCGGCTCTGCGCAACCACTTTTGTCTTCGTCGCGCAGACAACGCGCAGACACATGCCCTCGCAGATTGTTTGTTTTTTTGGAAGTGCGCAGATCAGAAAACGTCTGCGCGAGGTCTTTCTGGCGCAGACATGGGCCACTGTCTTCAAAGGTCTTTAGACCTCATTTTAACCTAAACAAAAAAAAACATGGGCCACCGTTTCTTTTTTTTTTGTTAAAAATGCATTTTTAATGTTTATGACATAAAATTAAGTTTAAAAATTCAATTTATTTTAACAGCCGCAGACGTTAAAAACGAACAGTCTTCTTATTGCAGACTGCAGACATTTGGTCCACCTCTTCTGCCGCAGAGGCTTGCAGATGTGGTCCGTAGACTGCAGACATTTTGACTTCAAAAAAACAAACAGCACCTAAGACATTTACCGTATTGGGGATTCCATGAAAGAAGGGGTAGCAATCAATTGATTTGAAGTGCCCATCAACAACGATTAATAAGTTGTGAAATCTCGAGCGATGTGTAAGATTTTGGGTAAAATCTTGAATCTTTGACTTAAAAATGGAAAAACCGAGACCTTTGACTTTATGGGTGTGTTTTTGAGTAGTTTTTTTTTTCTTTTCTTAAAAAAAAAGAAAAAAAAAAGAAGGGAAATATAACTGAAAACAATGATATGGAAGCAGTTGAATATATTATATTTTAGGGTTATTGTCATTATAGTCTAACAAAGTGTATAACTTCCTAGACTGTAAAGAACACATGGTGAAGATTTTGGGGTTACACTGATTTCCGAGATTCAAACAAAGCTTGCAACTTTTTCGAGTGGGCCAATCAAATCACCAGTACAAAGATCTTATATGTGAAATGAACTTGAAGGCTTCGAACTTGACACAAACAAGTATATATGCGATGGTGTATTTACTTAGGTTATGTTTAGTAATGTTGGCTGTTTTGTTCATTTTAATTGTTTTAGTTCTTGTTGGTTTATAGTTGATGTGTCAAAATAATGTTTGTACTTGTAACAACATTGTGCTTTATTTCTGTCTATTTCCAAAGCATTCCATTGTTGGTTGTTGGGTAATGTCAATTGTGGTTTCTGACCATACATATACATTTGCGTACATATGAATATGGCATTATATGTATTACATACTTATTTGCATTCTAATTCGACCAAATTTACATATATATGAAAAATGTATACTTCCCATTTTGCATTCAAGTTCCAAATTACATACATACATATGCATATGATATGTATGACATTTTATTTCAACCAAATAACTAGCCTGCCGACATATGTGTATGACAGATATACATGCAGTTGCATATGACATATATGCATGCAAGATACATACAATTTCACATGACCAAATTCGCATTTTAGATTGAAGTTCCATACGGCAAGTCCCACATGTTTGAGTTGTATCCTATAATAGACATATTTTACCATACAATTTTTGATCTAATCAGTTGAGATGTAATCCTTTTTAACAAAAACAACAGCCATGACCAATAAACAAGCAACAAAGAATTTGAGACTAAAGTGACTCTTGAGTATATTTCTCAGCATACACTTTGGTCGACAGCAACCAATTAATGAAAGTAAAATTGGTACCACAGATCATTTAATGGTTACCCAAAAGATTATGTGGAGGGGAAAACTGGTGGGCAGTCAAACGACCTCTGGAAATATGTCTCAAAGCCGACATTTCCATAAAATCTTGATAGAGGAGTTTGAATCATGTTGTATGGTAAATGTCTTTCTGTAATCAAATTCCCCATCCCAAAATTCTGAGGAATCTGTTGGGACTTTTGGTGTTTGCATCGGATCATCTTTAGGAACAAGTACAGCCCTAAACCTAAGCTCACCTCCATACAAATACTCATTGTCCAAGGAAAATGAAATGGTATTGTATGTTGAATTCAAGCATCCAGTGTGTCTCAATGAACTAAAGGAAACATATCCTACAAATATCTGATCATAATGAGTCTCGAGTGTTTCATTATACTCCTGATCATCAAGCTCAGACTGACAAACGTCTTGTACACCCATCTTGATGGTTATGTCAGGGAACCCTTCAAATGTCACCTCGGGTTTGACAAACATCAAAATCCCAGAAAAGTGATTGCACCAATCATGTGGAAGCAGCATATTATAAGTCTTCATCCAAACAACCCAAAGTACAGACGCCCTCCTCCAAATGTCATCGCCCGAAAGGTTGATACTGATAAAGTAATCTCTGGCGTTTCCCTGGCCACAAAACACATTCCATTATGATTCACCTCTATTCTTCTTATGTTTTTGAGGTTTTTATATATAAAGAATGAAAATCAAAAGCCAAACCTGGAGCATGGAGTTTAGTAATATGTCACCACAAAGTGCACCAAGTTTGGTATACCCCCAAACTGAGACTTGCCACAACCATTTACAGTTTGAAATATTTCCAAAGCTTTTAAGTGACGAACACCAACCCGCTATAACAACAGCTATACTTGATGGCAACTCTAACAATTCTACAAGTTGTTTGCACCATGACACGTTCAGCCGTTTGAGCTGAGGAAGTAGCAAGAGACTAAAATCCAACCGGACAAATCCATTTCCTTCTAGATCGAGTTCTAGCAAATTGGGTAATTCCCAACCAGCAGCCGAATTGATGTCTCCATCTGTCAGACTGCAGTTGCTGAGAACCAGTTTTCTTAAGCATCCACTAGAAAACCATACACCTATGTGGTTCATGTTGCGAGGTACAATATTCTCCAAATTAATTTGTTGGATGTTTGAAAGATTAAAAATTAATGTGCACCATGAGAGTACAATGGTCTCGAGTTTCGTTGACTGGGTAATGGGTGGAACCATCTTAAGATTGCCACAATTCCTTATGTCCACACAAACAAGCTTTTGCAAATGTCCAAATGATGGATGGATTTGTTTTAAAAGTGAAGATCCATAAACCATGAATGTTTCAAGGTTTGGAAGCCCCTCAAAATCTGGTGTCTCCATTAGTTTATCCAGGCTATCAAGTTTGATCATTCTCAAGTATGGTAGAAACTGTATACACAAGTGCACATATGTCAAAAGTTTGCCCAACAGTTCAAGGAAAATGGGTGTGTGTCATATATATATATATATATATATATATATATATATATATATATATATATATATATATATATATATATATATATATACATATATATATATATATACATATATATATATATATGTATATAATGTTTGTAAACATGATTGGTTTAATAAAATTCTATCTATAAAACCATGCATGTTTAAAAAAATTGATGGCCAAAAACTATTACATTGAAAAACAAAAATTGTGTTCAGGAAAGCAATCGATTTTTTTATGATAACAAAACTTTCATACAAAATCCGTATCTTGATCGTAAAGCAAGTCATATTTATAAAAGAATTTCCTTAAAACACGTTTTATATAAAATAGGTGATGGTTAACCGATTGAATCCCGGAAAAAATAAAAACCACGGTTTTGGTTCTGTTGAATCCCGGAATTGACTAAATTATAATCAACAACAATACTGAAAAACAGGGGCGAGCATATTAACGGACAAACTGAACCATTTTAATTGAACCATTACTAAAATAGGTGATGTGGTTTCTAACTTTGATTAACCGAATACATGTAGTTCGGTTATGGTTTTCAAATAAAAGTCTAAAACCAAACCACTACAAACCGAACTGAACAAATAATACTAATAAATTTTTTTAATATAATATTTTACAAATTATATGGTATGTAATTATATTAGGAATTGAAAATTTAAAGGATAATTATTTGGAATTAGATGAGATACGTAATCTTCTATCGTATTAATATAGTTACAAACATGCAGTCATTTATTTTTATAGCAATGTACTTTCTGTTTTTATTTTTTATAGCAAAGTACTTTTTATTTTATGTAATTTTGAACCATTATGGTTTAACCGACATTAACCATTGACCATATAGCCAATTAAAACAGTTAACCAAAACTACTACTAACCGATACCCAATGGCTACCAAAATACATTAACCAAATGTAATGGTTATGGTTCGGTTTTGGCCAATAACCTAACCAAACCACCTCATACACACCCCTACTGAAAAACCAAACAAACTACCACCTTTAAAAAAGTACATAATCAAAATCAAGAACCAAATTAGTTTTTGGTTTTGTTATCGTGACCGAGTTTTGGACCCCTAAGGAGACAAAAGTATATGTATAGAGTTGAAAACTCACATTGTATATTTAATAGAGGCTTTATTAATTTCTCAGTTTCATAAATGTCCTACAAGTGTTGGGTGATGTGATGTATAAGTTACCTTGCTAACTATCACATGTGTATATCATTACCACCAACTTTCTAATAAAATTATTAATAATCACGTCATATTCATAAGCAAAAGAAATAAACTTTTAATAAATAATATATTCATTTTAATAAGAGCCTAGTATTTTATGATTACTGAGATACTTTAAAATCCAGCCATTTATGTACATGATTGTGTGCTTCTTATTGATAGAGAGGAAGAGATAGGAAGCAACTTAGATTATTAATTTAGCCGTTCACTTTGCCTTCATCCATTAAAGTGATTAAACAATAAGGATTACCTTGTAACCATCCCAAAGTTGATTTGCATTGATGTTTTTCAATGTTAGACAGCAAAGGTCCCTTGGTGGAAAACTTTCTGGCATTATAACTAATGATAGTGGAGTCACAACCAATAGTTTCTTCGAAACATATTTCTGATTCAAATCAATCCAACGAAGTTTCTTCATGTTTGCAGCGATTTGAAGAGCACGTTGTGATTCAACACTCCAAAAACACGAAACACCTATAGCTTCAATCTTGTCAAGGTTCTACGATAGAGGAACAAAATGGTGTCAGCATCGAGTTCAAATTGTTTCTTTATACATACATACATATATATCATGAAAAGGTAGCCTAATATTACCATCATTGCATCCATAGAGCATATTTTTAAAACATCTTCCACTTTCCAAACTCTACTATGTTTTTCAGGATTCTTGGGGTGTTCCCTTCTAACAATGTAGTGTGCCATTTCTTGTACCAAATCATGCATATCAAACTCACCAACTTCAGAAATAGTTATGAGAGACTTTTGTACCAACACCTTTATGCCTATAACAGGGTAATAACCACAAGCATCAAGTATCATCATTCTCTCTTCATATGTATACCGGCAGGATCCCCTCAAGAAACATGCAATGTCTAGGAACAACTCTTTCTCCAGGGGTGTAAGTCTATCAAAGCTGATTTTTAGAACTTCCAAAATATTAGCATCAGGAATTTCTTTCAATCTAGCCAAGGCACTCCTCCACTCATTCATCTCTTTGTCACATAGAAAACGACCGAGAACTCTAAGTGCTAATGGGAGCCCACCAGCATACGAAACCACATCTTTTGAAAGTTGTTCATAATCTTCAATACGTTTGTAACCCCGGGGTGCATGCTTGCAAAAGAGCTTCATAGCTTCATCATTGTTTAACAAGCTTATATTGTATATCACATCTACTTTGTGTGCAGTTAATACATGCTCATCTCTAGTTGTGATTATTATACGGCTTCCTTCACCGAACCAATCATGTGATCCAGCTAACTGTTCTAGGTGCTCAAGGTTGTCGACATCATCAAGAACAATCAACACCTTTCTATGGTGTAACCTATCCTTTATCATGCGCCTTCCTTCTTCAAGTCTCCCTACCTCCATTTGCTTTTGTCTCAAAACACCACAAAGAATTTTTTCTTGCAATCTTTCCAGACCTTCTTTATTAAATGATTCCTCCCGAACATTTTTTATAAAGCAACAACCATCAAACTTGCTAGATATCTCATCATAAACAGAAGAGGCGAGAGTAGTCTTGCCACCACCCCCGACCCCCCATATTCCAATCATGCTCTTACCACCAAACCCGATTTGTAACTTTGATATCAAATGTTGCATGCGAGCCTCTACTCCAATCAAGTTGTTATCCACACTTGAAGTTATTGGATGCAACCTATGTGAAATTGTGTCAACAATTGTTTTGATGCATTTTGACTCGTGCCTGCAAATTGAATATACAAGGATCATCAATACATTGACAAATAGCTTCATCATAAACTACAACTCCAGAGAATGTTCACTTTGTGTGTTCTTAACAGATGTTAATCTCCAGTAGTATTGATAATTATTCGGCTCTAATCAAGTGATCTAGTTAAAGCCTTTTTTCATCAATTACGGTCATTAAACATCATCAAGAATAATTTAAACATTTGTATGACAGCCTACTTATTATCATGCATCTTCCTTCTTAACTCTGTACTACCAATTGTGTCTTCAAAATAGCTAAGAGAAATTTCTTCATATATACTTTTTGGATCCCTTCTACAAAATATATATATATATATATATATATATATATATATTGTTATTTGATTATTGCATAGAACTATAAATATTTGCATCATTGTCCATGACAGTTATAAAAAAAAAAAGCGTGTATATTATCATCCAGAATTTGGCTATATCCTTTAAAATCGTATTAGGTATAAGTATACATGTCTTGTAGTAGAGCACACATATCGTAAGCATAAAAAGTGCACAAACAAAGAAGAAAATTACCCATTGGCAATGTGCTCGGTTTCCCATCCAGAAATGTTACTTGCATCCACAAGTGCTTTTCTCCAAGATTCAACCTTCGTGTTGTTCTCCAACTCATGTTTCACAAATGCTTCTCTGTATTTGTGTTTTTGTTTTCGAACTTCGGAAGGATCAACGTCATAAAATACGGGCATCACAATTTGTCCTCTTGTATCCTTGCATTTCATGATATGTGAAAGTTCATCTAAGCACCATGAAGAATCTGCATAGTTTTTAGAAAATACGATGACGGCGATCTGTGATTCTTCAATAGCCGTCTTTAGAGATGGGCCAATTGATTCTCCCTGAGGAAGTGTTTCATCGTCCTTGTAAGTGTAGATTCCCTGTTGTACGAGTGCTGTTTGGAGATGATCAACAAAAGTCTTACGGGTATCTTCTCCTCTAAAACTAAGAAAAACATGGTACTTCCACACCTCAGAAGAAAAGGCCAGAGCAGAAGGAGAAGATGATGAAGATGCCATCGACATTTTGAGTTGTTCAGATAGAATGTATGTGATTTTTGAGCAGCTTAACGAACTGAAATATATAGGGAGATGCAAGTCTTCAGTAAGTACAACCTGTTTCATGTTGAAAAACCTAGTCAGAACTCATAATTGTGCTAACTGTTACTATAATACAAAAAAATATACCTATTTTTTTCATTTTTTGTCTTAAAAGCTGCTTTGAAAATATAATACAGGTTATAATTCAAAAGATAGGCAGGGATTGATTCAGGTAATTGATGTTAGTAAATTCAAAAGTCTTTGTCCTGCATCCGCCACTCTGCTTTCCCATGACATACTCAAAATCTGAATTGAATGAAGAAGATCGTTCATTTAAGAATCTATCAAGAGATACATAAACTCCCACCATGATTAACTGCTTACATCTCAAGATTATACATCAAATATTGGTTGACCACTTTGGTACAAACCAATAATTACATTGGTTATCAGTAGATGACTAGTATCTTTGATGTTGTTTACTAATAATGAATTTCCCAAGTATTTTGTGCTTAATTGTAATAATACCCGAATTTAACTAGTGCCAAGAAACACACATCCGGGACCAATCCCCTTCTCAATTATTAATTTTTTGTATCCACAACACATATAAGCATCATTACACTCATTTCCTTTTAATTCCATTCGTTTATCGCATACACAAAAACCTAGTGACTTCCAAATTGTTTACTAATCGAAAAACTTCACCTCTGACTTAGGTCAAAATACGTTTCTGACATTCCAAATCGACAATTTCTTAACTTGCTGATAAATTTACTCAATAAGTCGTATACGAATTCATTGAAACTTCAATTTCTTTATTGATAACTTATACTTTATCAATTTACCGGTTTGAGGAACGTACCTCAAATTCGAGGCCACTCCAAACTCTAGCAGACTCCCTTTCTAAGCTTTTTCTTTCCAATCAATTTAACTTTGCAAGATTATATTCAATTTTCGAATTCTAATTTATGCTTTCAACTGGATCGATTTGAGATTTTTTGAGTAGGTTGGTTTGACACATCTCTCTAGATCGGTCAACGAGGGAGTGAATATAATGAGATGGAAGTTATAGTTTCCTTAAATATATATACTCACGTTTTGGAGTTTCAACATTTAGTCACCATACTTGCATATTTTACATTTTCGCCACCAAACTTAAATTTCATTATTTCATCATTTATGCTAATTCGTCAAATAAGTGAATAACCTAAACTATACTTTAAAGATCTTCAGCATTAACATGACTTTCCTAGTAAGAAATTCGTGTTAAATGGTACAAATAGTGATTAATATCTAACACTAGCACCATTTTATATCAAAAAAAAAATACTAGCACATGTATCTTTGTTTTTTCTAACTTAATTAGGTTTTAAAAAGAGTTTTCATAAAAAAAGCCCACCATAGTTTTTTTTAGTTTAACGACTAATTTTTTTATAAAGTTTAACTATTAAGAGTTTGTTTATATAATTCAAAGATACGCAAGTAGATTTTAAATCAATTCTATCATTATAAATATATCTGATTGTACGAATGTAACCATAATATAAAAAACATGTGTGATGACTATTATCAAGAAAATTCTATCTAGTTCGTCCGTGGATATAGCTAAGATTAAATCTGATTGAGTGAACCACATCAACTTCTATTATTTATTTTATATGCATCTTTAATTGTTGCATTTGTGTTTGTGTTTTCTATCCTCGACCCTAACTACTAGTATCAGCTGATTGGAGAGCCTTGCCTCTCCCAAGGTAACAATACCAAATTTCACAAAAGATAATCACACACCCCTTCACTCTATCATCTTATAATCATTTTGTTGCAACAACTAAATAACTTAAATACCCGTCCGTTAATAAGATGCTCATAAGTTTGTGGAATTCCACATGTTACCTTTATCCAATTACATGACTAAAGTGGATGTGTAGACGTGGTGTGGTCCTAGATTTGCTTGGAAATAGACTTTGTGTACCCACTATCATTTGGTTATATTTGAAGCTCTCTTGTGATTGTTGACTCCTCACATTGAGGAGGGTTTTGTTTTGATGAATGAGGTTTAGTGGAGTTTGAATCACATTGAGTTGTGAATCAGATGGCATGTGTGTGGATATTTTTAATTAACTTTGTTTTCTCTTATGTAACATCCCGTTTCTGGTATGCAATTAATCTAATTAAGTATTTATCTTTGAGCTACTCGATGACTTGGTAGCCCTAACTCGTCGAGTAGATGCCAGAAGGAACGTGGGGATTTAAATGGTTTATTTGGCGAGTCCAATCCTGGACTCGACGGGTAGGTCTGTCAGGAGGAAACTCTATTTTCGGGGTTTTGCACCCTATTTAAGCTACTTAACCCCTTTTGGGCCTCCCTTACCAGCCTCCATGTCCTCCAAAAACCCTAATCCGTTGTGAGCATCTTCCTTGAGAGATTGTTGAGGTTTTGAGTGTGTTTTTATAATATAGAAGAGAGTTGGAAGAGCTTGGAGCCAACAAGCTTGTGGAGATGATCTAGATCTAGGATTTCATCCATCTGTGGCAACCTTCTGAGGTAAAAAGCTCTTAGCTTGATAACCTATAGCTTAGATCTCTTTTAGCATTGATTTATGGGTCTTTTTGACCCCTTTGAAAAGGATAAGTAACTCTTCATGGGTTGCAAGCCAAGCAATCCCTTCTTCCTGTGATATTTAGCCTCTAGAACCATAAAAGAGGTCTTGAACCTGTTTTTGTCCAAGAAATGGTCATGTTCATGGAGTAGTAGGTTGCTATAACTTGATTTTGGGTCCATTTGAGGTGTCCAAAGCCATCAAGTCTCCAACTTTACAGAAATGGACCATGGAAACAATCTGGATCTGTGTTTTGGAGCCTTAGAAATGTGAAACCCGTTGTATAGGGTAGATCTGCAAGGGAACCTGACGAGTCCGATCGAGGATCTCCGATGATGTTCATGAAACTCGGCGAGTTGCCAAGGAACTTGACGAGTGGATCATCTTGTCCCTTTTTGTGATTGTTCTAGGACTCGGCGAGTCTGAGGACGACTGGACGAGGTAGTTCATCCAGTTGCAATGATGGGTAGCTTGGGAACTCAACGGGTCATAGTGTAACTTGGCGAGCCGAATCGCGATTTTAGGGTTTCTGAGTTCTAGAACTCGGCGAGTCAATAGGCTGACTTGGCGAGTTAGGCCAACCTAGAAGGTTGACTTTAACCAGAGGTAAAATGGTCATTTTACCCTAAGAAGGATTATCATATTTTGATTAAGAGTTATTATGGAATTGATAGCCGAAGAGTCACCGGACCAGCAGACAGGGATTCCTCACTCAAGTTTTCAGCGGTCAGTCTTGTGAGGTGATAGTGATTACTCCATTACTGAAGCAGATCCGGGAGGCGCAGGTTGAGGGCCTGAAGGAGGAGTGCCAGAAGTGCGAGAGGATTATGGGCCGAGTGGCCTCATTTGATTATGACAACCGAGGGTTTTTGACCCTGCATGGGAGCGTTTGGGTTCCAGACTGGGGCGGAGTATGGCAGGTTCTGATGGATGAGGCTCATAAGTCGAGGTTCTCCATCCATCCTGGGGCGATGAAGATGTACTGAGACCTTCACCCTGATTATTGGTGGCCTTACGTGAAGAGGGATGTAGCATGGTATGTGGAGAGGTGCTTGACCTGCAGGAAGGTCAAGGCCGAGCACCAGAGATCTCACGCCAAGATGCAACCGTTAGATATTCCCGTGTGGAAATAGGAGGATATCACCATGGGTTTCATTACCAAGCTTCCGAGGACCGCATGTGGAGTAGACTCGATATGGGTCATCGTGGATCGGTTGACCAAGAGCGCTCATTTTATCCCAATCCAGAAGAGCATATCGGCCGAGAAGTTGGCCGAAATATATGTGTGTGAGATAGTGGCACGGCATGGGGTGCCTGTCTTGGTGGTGTCAGACCGAGATGTCCGTTTCACTTCCAGATTTTGGAAGCGATTTCATGACGAGATAGGTACTCATCTCCATTTCAGCAGCGCTTTCCACCCCCAGACAGACGGGCAGAGTGAGAGGAAGATTCAGACTCTCGAGGACATGCTTCGTGCATGTGTTTTAGATTTCGGTGGCAGTTGGAATACGTATCTTCCGTTAGCGGAATTTTCATATAACAACAGTTACCACTGTAGTATAGACCGTCCTCCCTTCGAGATGCTCTATGGGAGGAAATGTACGACCCCAATCTGTTGGGGTGAGGTCGGTCAGAGGTTCATGGGGAGTACGTAGGTAGTACTCAAGACCACAGAGTAGATCTAGCAGGTCCGGAGAAGGCTCCAGACTACTCAAAGTCGGCAGAAGAGTTACGCTGCCAAACGTGGTTCGGATTTGGAGTTTCAAGTGGGTGACATGGTCCTCCTTAAAGTGTCACCCTGGAATGGAGTTATCAGGTTTCGGAAGCAGGGCAAGATGGTGTAACATCCCGAATTTCAGAAGTACGATTTAAGATTTTAAAGTGTAATTTCGAAGAAAGGACTCGACGAGTAGGTACGCTTACTCACCGAGTTGGAGTAGGTTTGGGTCGCGAATTAAGTGACCAACTTGCCGAGTCGGAAGATGGACACGACGAGTTGGTACTGGGATGAGAAAAACCCTAATCTTAGGGTTTGCACCCTATTTAAAGGACTTAATGTCCTCCCCTCAACTCCCTTAGCCCCCTTTAAGATCCAGTAAACCCTAGCTCGTGTGTATAAAGCCATTGGAGGGAGATTGAAGCTTTGAGAGGTGTTCTAGTGGAAGAAACTTGAAGATCAAAAGGGTTTGCATCAAGAAAGTAGTGTAGATCCAGAATCTACTGCATTTTTGGGCACATCTTGGAGGTAATGAGTTGTTACCTTTCCTTTGTTGCTTCTAGATTTATTCTTGAATGAGATTTGGGGCACTTCGGGTTTGGAGTCCAGATCTGAGGTTGCTACTTCAGATCTAGATTTGTAGTGGTCCAGAAAGTCATAAAGCATCAGTTATTGAATTGTTGGTGAATCCCTTTTGTCTAAAACCCAAGCCTTGGTGTGTTTTGAGCCTATATCTCTTTGGTTTCATGTAAAGTTTGCAACTTTATGTGAGGGATAGATTGTAGAAGGGTGGATCTACGGATTGGAGCCTCAACATGGCTCAAAAAGCCTCTGAATGAACTGAGAACTGGAGAGACTCGGCGAGTCACATGGGTGTACTCGACGAGTTGTATGAACACATGCACGGACTCGACGAGTTGGAAGAACAACTCGGCGAGTATGTTGAAGATTGCCTTGGACTCGGCAAGTCTGTTCTTGGATTCGGCGAGTCAGGTCGCAGAACCCCAACCTCTTTTGGTTAAAGCCTTGGATTAGTGAGTCGGTTGGCTACTCAGTGAGTTAGACAAGATGGGACTCAAAGATCGTTGGACTCAGTGAGTCTTGGGGCGACTCGGCGAGTTAAGTTGTATCATGAGAGTTTTCTGGGTAAGGGAACTCGACGATTCGATGGGGTGACTCGGCGAGTAGAGTCAACCAAGAAGGTTGACTTTGACTGAGGACTTTGAACTTGACCAAGAGTTGACCAATTTAACTTCCAAGGGTACTTTGGTAATATTGGTATTTATGGAATTGGTACTTTGGTAGTGTTCAGTGGCGGCGATCGTGTCGGAGGTCGGAGCAGCTTGGTCTTATCTTTTCAGTCAACAATTTCAGGTGAGTTATCCTCACTATATCAATAGGGGTTAAGGAACCAAGGCTGGCCCTTTTAGTTGTTATCTTGGTTACAGTATGCTACATGTAGCTATGATCTGTTAGATTGGTATCAGAATAGACAATATGTTGTTATGCTCATGTGATCCGTTAGGATTGGTATGTTAGTGACCTGGTTAGGTCGATGCCTTGGTCATGAGAGATTGCTATGATCAATGATTTGTGAGATAGTTATATATGATATATGTACTCGTACTGTTGATGTGCTTATTGATCTATTAGATCGGATTCCTGGTAATTGGGACAGTAATATGTCAGTGACCTGGTTTAGGTCGGTATCCTGGTATATAGGATGATGCTATGTTAGTGACCTGGTTTAGGTCAGTATCCTAGTATATAGGATGATGTTATGTTAGTGACCGGTTAGGTCGATATCCTGGTAAGGATGATGATATGCTTTATGATCTGCTAGATCAATTTGTTTGCATATGGACTATTATGTGATTTCCTGTTATATGTACACATGGTTATTTGCTTGATGTTTGGGTTGAGGCGGTCTTGCTTTGTGCTGAAGGCCAACATACCCTACGAGCGGTCTGGATAGATTGTAGGCCCGTATGGCGGTCCAGTCATACCGAAGGCTCGGATAGATCCAGATAAACTGAAGGCCCGGTGCGGGCGATCCAGTCATACTGTAGACTCAGAGAGTGGACTAGGTGAACTGAAGGCCTGTTGAGGGCGGACCAGTCACGCTGAAGACTTGAGAGGCATGGTTGTTCTGTATTGTGATACAATATGTTATGATTATGGTTGTATGTGGTTGGTATTTTGGGGGTAACTCACTAAGCTTTCGAGCTTACAGTTCAATGTATTTTTTCAGGTACTTCAGGAGATTGTGGCAAAGCGAAGGCGTGATCGTACCGCTCCTCATGTTTTATGATTCATGTGATATGGTTCTGGGGGATACTCTGATGTTTAAACTATTTTGAAAATAAAATGTATGAACTTAATGGGTTTTGAATGAAATAAAATGTTTTAAATTGGCTCAGATTTTTGGTCGTTACAAATGGGCCCCAGGTTCATTGGTTCGTTTAGGGTTTCGGTCTGGGTGGGTCGGGTTGCTTATCAGTTAGATCTTCCAACAAAGCTCCGCCAAATCCACAACACATTCCATGTTTCCTAGCTACATAAGTTCTTGGTGGATGATTCAGCAGTGGTACCCTTAAAGGATATTCAGGTTGATGACAGCCTGAATTACATTGAGAGACCGGTGGCGATTCTGGATCGCAAGACGAAGGAGTTGAGGAATAGGAGGGTCGAGCTAGTGAAGGTGCAGTGGCAGCACCGCAAGGGCTCGGAGTGGACATGGGAACCCGAGGAGGAGATGTGGGAGCACTACCCGGAGTTATTC